TATAAGTAGATATTATTTGCTTATGAATTGAATATTGGGGTACTGTTAATGCATTTAGGTTAGAACTAGAAGTGGAGTAGGATCTTTAATGGATTTTGTGAAATTTCAGATTTTGGAGGAACAATTAAGTTTTAATTGTGATCTTTTTTGGTAGTCCCTAATATGTGCTCCTATATAGTAAGTCAGGTATGTTTCTCTTTTGTGTACTTTGCTTCCACTAGAGGAATAGGAACTTTAGAGGTAGTGATTCAGCATGTTGTAGTGGGGGGAAAAAAAAAGAAAAAAAAACAACACTAGATTGGAGTCCAAAGATGGGTTGTAATCTTAGCTCTGCTGCTTAGAACCTGTGTTTCATAGATTTTAGAGCTGGAAGGGACTCTGGAGAAAATCTAGTGTAACCCACTCATTTTAAAGAGGAAACTGAGGCCCAGAGAGTTTTGGTGACTTGCCCAATAAACCCAATGTTACTCAGTAAATCGACTGTGGCCTCTAGGATAAAATGTAAACTCAACTATTTGGCTCTTAATTGCTTTCACAACTTGCCCTCCTCCTACTAGCTTTATTCTACATTATTCTCCTTTTTATTCTCTACAGTCTAGATAAACCAGACAACTTGTTACCCTTCACATGCTCCTTTCTCTTTGCTTTACCAATAGCCATTCCCCATGTCTGCAAGGTTTTTATCTCTGCCTTATAGAATCCCTTACTTCACCTTAAAGACTTAGCTCAAGCACTAACTTCTTTAAAAATCCTTTCCTGAGTTCCTCAATTGCTAATATCTTCTTTCCTTAAAGGACCTTGTACTTATTTCACATATATTCCCTAACTCCCCTCTCCTACTTGCCATCAGTCACAATAGGATGTAAGCTTCTTGATGGCAGAGTCTGTTTCATTTTTTTCTTAGTATCTATAATGCCTAACAATACCTGACACATAGTAGGTATCTTTAAATTCTTTTTGATTGATTGATCACCTAAATCCACACAGGTAGAATTTGAACCCAGGCCCTATGACTCTATACCTAGTGCTCTTTCCATGTTATCTTTGTACAATCTTGGACAAGTCTCTTAATCTCTCTGGAACTCAGTTTTCTCCTTTTGTAAAATGGCGGGTTTGGGAGGGGAGGGTTTGGCATTGACTGGGTGATCTAAGATCCCATCTACCTCTAAGTTCTATGAATATCCTATGAATCTGATGTTTCTGCTAAAAAGCTGGGGTGCTACTTTGAGTACTAGCCATTTCTTAAGCACTCATAAGTGTGCTTATTTTCTTGTCTGAAGGAAGTATAGTATTAAAAAGTTAACTTGACCATATGTGATATGTAGTTCACCTTTGGCCATAACTTAAAACTAACTCAAGCAGAGAAGAGAGCATTGCAGACGTTTGCACAGACCAGCCTTACAGTGAAAGGCCTATCAAGCTGGCCAAGACTGGACGTTGGATGAACTTCTGCATCAGCGTTTCTGACATGAAAAATAATTCTCCTGGAAGGCTCTGCATAACACACAGGGATCAACAACAACAGCAACAAAAACTACTTGAGATTTTTAACAGAAAAAGGAGATTTGTTTATTAATAATTCATGAGTTCCCATTGAACATGCACGACAGAAACAGTGCTATTCAATAGAGAATACTGTCATCTGTCACTGTTTTATTTGACATTTACACTTTTTTTTTTGCCTGATCCTGCAAAACTTTCTTGGATGGCATGCAAAGATTATATAAATGAAAAAAGGGGAAAAAAAAAATCTCCAAGCCAATCCAGGAGACTTCATTTCTTCTACAGGGGGTTTACAAACTATCATAAAGGTATTATTTTTTTTGGTAGAGCAACAGTATTGGCATTTCCCCCCTGTGTTAACCATCGTGCCAGCTAGTAATAGACTATGTATAAGACACATAAGCATCCCAATGAGTGGGGTGAGGGATGATATGAATAAGCAACTGGAGGGAGGGATGAGAAAAGAGGTAAATGGATAAATTTGTTGAAGATAAACAGAGAATACACAGAGTGAAAAGGGTACATCAGAACGAGGGGGAAACAAATAATGGCTGTTATGAGGAAAACTGACAAAAATAAACTGCTCTTTCAGACACTAAATATTTATAAGTGGCATCAAAGGGAGACCCCACTAGTATAAAACATGGGAATGTAAATCGGGCATTTAGTAGAATGACAAGTTAGAGTTAGGACCACCTTGCAATCTCTTGCTAATATTAGGCTCATGAAAATCTTTCTGCTCTGTAGGTTAGTTATTATTTATAAAAATCACAGAACCAGCTGATACATTCATAAGCTAATTATTGTAGCAGCTGGGTACACATGGTGCAATATGTCTGAGGCTGTGAAGTATCACAGATTTCTTGGGGCCTGCTGTGGTGGGGGTGTGCTGTTGAAGGCTAGATCCCTTAATCTGATCAGCCAAGCAAATACTTTGTAGGGAAACTAGATTAATAACCCTCTAAATACCATGAATGTGCTTCACCTTCAAAACTGGGTTCTCCTAAATGTGCCATTAGCTTAGTACCATCCGGGAATTGAGAAACTTCTCTAGTGTCCTAAGGATAGGGTCTTGTCTGACACTGCCTTGTGCCAGAAATTAATTTGGTTTGCTTATGTCTGCACACATGGTCACACTTGTGTCTAATCTGCTCCCTAATAGCTTCAAGGTCAGGACCTTGCATGTTGCTGGGCAAATTGAGCACTATACTTCTTAAAGACTGATGGCAGAGAGCACACAGTCCATAATGAGGCCTGTAGTGTTGTTCTAAGTGATTGTAATGAGTGCAGATTATAGCAGTGCATATAAATCAAATGCTGCAATGACTGTTGTGTGGACATTCCAAGTTTCATAAGTGGAGATACCACTCAGCTGTCACCTGTCTCATTTCAAGCTGAGGCTTCCCACAATGCAATTCATGCCTCAATCAGAACAGCAGGTGCTGTCTTCCTTAAGGCCTGGATCTTTCAGAACTTCTTCTTTTAACAGATGTAGGTTTTTGTTTTTATTTTCTGTTAAATGATTGGTCTTCATGCTCTAGCATCCCCTGGGAGATGTTAAACATACCTGTTTGAAACATTTGAAAGAGTTCAGTTGGAGACTTATTCAGATCTGTGAAAAGATAGAGAAATAGGAGCTTATTTTTTCCACAGATGGTTTAATTTTCCATTTCAGAAATTCTTTCCTTTGTACAAAGAAGCCCCTGAGAAATCACTTGGGATTAGGAGATTTTTTTTGGAAGGGACAAAAGTTGTGGAGTTTTACTTTTTTATCGACATACACATATATGTACAACACATATGCTTATGCATATATGTATACATATATGTACATGAGTACATAGACACACATGCAAATATACATGTGTGTATATATTATGTATATGTATATATGTATATATGTTTTATGTGTATACATATATGCACATACACACGCACTAGTAAGTATATAATGTTTTTCAAATGCCAGCCATCACCTGACTTTGGGGTTAGCCAAAATATCTATGAAAATACTTGGGAAGTGAAAAATTCCAAGCAGATGATCAGATATCTCCTTTTCATTCTTCCTCACCCTCTCACCACCCTCAGCTCCCAGTTTACTGCAAGAAAAGATCAGGTCTGCGCAAATGTGGCCTCTCACTTGTAAAAACAAGGCAGTGTTGTGTTACAGATTAGTTTATAAATCCCCAGTGGCTTCACAGTTCAGTGCCTACAGCTGCTGCAGATGGGCCTGGGTTTTTGTCTCTTCGCTGTGCTGCAGCCGGCAGTTGAAGGAGAAAATGGAATGATCAGGTTATTAACATGTAGGCCATGAGGAAGAGGCTGCACAATGAGAACAGCTGGTGTTGCTGTCTTGGCTGATGCAGCGGAGATAATCAAATCTTGCCTTTTTTTTTGGGTAAAGGCAGAAGACACAGTGGAGAGTTAGACAAACAACGGCTTATGATATTATATGGGGTTTTTATAATGCATGTCATGAGCTTTCATTGGCTTATGAGTTATGGGATGCATTTTTTCTTTCCTTTTTTTTTTAAAAAGAAGTAAATATAACTTCATGAGTACTAAGGTAATTGTTTTCAAGCTTTATTATTTTGGAAAGGCAAGAACAACAAGGGCACTTTTTGATTTAAAAAAAAATTAGAGCTATAGCTTGGAAATGATGGGCTAGAAAGCTAGTAGGTAAAATATTTTGACATGAGTCAGTAAGCGATGTTGACAGCATCCTCTCTATTATTTTCATATAATCCATCATTATTTGGATTACACTCTTCCTTCCTCATACAGTTGCAATAGACAGAGAACATCCCAACCAAAGCAGGGAAGGGAACCTTCTTGGTCTTCCTCAGGTAGTTGTGACCCTTAGAGAAAGGTACCACTTAAACAGCTCTTGGCTCTGAAGTCACTGACAACTGAACTGTGGTCATCAAAAAAAAAACCAATAACTGAAAAAAGATTTTGCTTTTTAGTCCCTTTTTGAATGCCATTTTTCATTTTATGATATTCTTGGAAATTACAAGAAGACTCCATTCCTCTTAATATTCTTTATATTTGGTTGTATCTGTTCTTCAGAACTTGCCCTTTTGAAATACAAGTTTGGTTTTCTGCCCCTTTCTTATGGTTGAAAGGTTGACTGGATAATTTTGCTGTATTTTTTAACGGTAGTTCACCAACGGTATCTTTTGAGTGTCTTGGTTTATTTTTTCTTATTATTTTGGGTTATTATAGTCTTTTTTGTCTTTTTTTTAGTTACTTTACACAAGGTTTCTGAAGTTCTGTAGGATGTGGAGGAAAATAATTAAGACACTGACTCATGGTGTGTAATAAGCAATTATGGTTTGGGGTTTTCAGAGAGCTTAGGGTATGGCATGAATTATCTATACAGGTAGAGGGAAAGAACTTAGAAATCCTTGAATAGAGCATGCATTTCTTTTGAGATCAAGAACATATCTGATCCTTCTGCCTTTTGGAAGTTAACTCCTGTGACCTTCTCTTTCTAGGGCTGGCTGTGTGAGCTACTCCGCTGGAAGGAAAACCCAAGTCCGGAAAACCGCACCCTCTGGGAAAACCTGTGCACCATCCGCCGCTTCCTGAACCTTCCCCAGCATGAGAGAGATGTGATCTATGAGGAGGAGTCCAGGCATCATCACAGTGAGCGCATGCAGCATGTTGTCCAGCTCACTCCTGAGCCTGTGCAGGTCAGAGCAGTAACTTTCTTACTGAATGAGACTTTGTGTTTGTAGCTGCTGTAAAACGTCCAAGGAGAACCTGGCTCCAACTTCCTTCTGCCTCGTAGGCTGTCAGGCAGAATGTGTGTAGGTATACTAATGCACATTTCATAGGCAGATGTCCTGAGTTCTGAGAATGCCCACCTGTTTATGCATCTGCGCAGAAATAGTGATAGGAAGATTTAGAGCTAGAAGAGACTCAGAGACCAACTGATCCACCTTCTTCTATGTAGTCAGGATTCAAACCCAGATCCCTTGACCCTGAATCCTGCCATCTACTGCCAAACTAGAGTTATTTTTATCTACGATATCACAATCCCAAATCCCTTCACATAGAATGTCATATCTATGCAGAATAGATAATGGTTTTAATTGCAACAGTAGACTTTCATTAATCTAGAAATATCCTCAAGGAATGATTTCGCTAAGACAGGAGAAAGAAGCAGCTACTGGGGGGTCTTAACCTAACTTATTAATGTTCTGCCTAAGTCATCTGATATCTAGGTTTTTGGTGTTTTGTCAAGATCATGATCAAATGGACTTATCTATTTACCAAATCAGGAAATAGCAATTTTTTAATAGTTTGGATTTTTTTGGTTCCTTAATTTCATCTTCTGTGAGAGAAAGGGCATTTATTTCTGAAATAAGTTGATTTACCCCAGAAAGAACTAGTAGGCTGTTCTTAGACCAATATTTCTAGATGAGGGAAGACTTAGCTGACAGATCACCAACCCCCATCTACCACCGAAGAAGAAATTCTAGGGACATCTCCCTTTGGTCCACTTCAGCTCTCAGATATTTGATCCATTAAGGAGAGGGAAAGCAAAAGAAGTGTATAGCTTCACGTGCAGACACTGCTGGGCTCCTGGCAAGAAGGGAAAGATAAGAATGTTGGAATTTCTCACATCACTTCGTTCATCTACATCAGATATAGCTCCTTCCATTGTACCTCTTCTCTCAATACTTCCTTTTCTCTTTCCTCAGGGGTGATCACCTTTACCTTGGTAAAGAGCACCCCCAAAAAAATGGGTCTAATGCAACCCTTCCTAGCCAAGCTGAGTGTTGTTCTGCTTGGCGCTTTCAGGCAATGGTTTGTGAATTTCCAAAAGAAAACTCAGAGCAAATAGTTCTCCCTCTTAGAATCATAGGCACTGAATCTGGAAGGGACTTTAGAGATCATCTAACCGAAGGGTTTCTTAACCTGTGGTCTAGTAATTGTTTTTTAAGATATTTTGATAATGGTATTTCAAGTCACTTTGTTTCTTTTGTGACCCTGTTTTATTTAAGACATTTAAAAAAAAAATTATTCTGAGGAATCCCTAGGCTTCACCAGGCTGTCAGAGAGGTCTGTGACACCACAAAAGGTTAAAAGCCCCTGCTCTATCCCAACCTACTCATTTTACAGATGGGAAAACTGAAATCTAGCAATATTAAGTAACTTATTCAAGTTATGAAACTAGTCACTGGTGTGACTAGGACTAGAAGTCAGGACTACTGATTCCAAATGCAATGTTCTTTTCTACCAGGTATGGATATGATTGATTAAATTTTTTTTTCACAGTGACCTCCAAAGCAATGAGCAAATGCCGAGGTAGTCTTCAGACTTAGTATCCATGAGCTGAGACCTATTCATTATTCTCCTTTCCTAGACTAGACAGGAGCCTCACCCAAATACCAGAACATCTAACCCTAGGATTTTAAATAAGCCACTTGGAGGGTCTTGATAATCAAGGGACCATTGATAGTCTATACTTTGAGGATAGCAAGTCTAGGGCACAATTAAAATCCATGTTGAAATGAGTAGGTACTAAGTGAAACGTAACTTATTCTAGATACCAGTGAACATGTGTTTTATAGAGTAACTATGAAACTCAGATGTTCAGAGAGGCTTTTGAAGCAAGAACAAGGACAGGATATAAGATCTCTAATGAAGACCCCTGAACCACTCCTGTTCACCTTATTCATTGTTTGTTGTTTCTCGTTACTGTGAGCTTCTAAAACTTGTGTTTTGTTTTGTTTTTTAAGTTGCTTTGCTTGAATGAAATAGTGTCAATAGGTGACTGGTGGATCTGTGGGTTTGACTATGTTTTTGATGATATGCCAGCCCTTGTAGACTCCTTTGAAAGTAGGACTAAAAGCATTTTATATGCCTAAGAAAATCATCAGGAATTGATTTGTGTCTGGTAATTTATTTATTTTGTTTTATTTTCAACTCATGCATACCTATGGCTGAGTTATTTAAATTCTTTGAGTCTCAGTTTTCTCATCTGCAAAATGAAGATAATAACATTTGGGCTCTCTGGCTCCTCAGGTTATGATCAAATACTGTGTAAATTGTAAAGAGCAATGTAAAGCTAAACAGCAATTAATTGATAAAAGATTCTATTCAGCACTTAGATCTTGCCCCCAGTGTGATTACAGATAAGGGTTTATATTTTTAATTGATGTCCTTGATAATTTAGCCTGCTTAAAAAGGAAAAAAAATTCACATAACCTTTTTTTTTTCACAATGTCTCTGAGTGATACTGCTGCATTTATATTTGTCAGCAAGTTACAAAGCTGTGGATTAATTATTTATTGCAATCATAATATGAAAAATGAAGAAAAATGAGTGGAACCAGCTGGCACGTAAATATAGCAGAACTCTTGAGACTGTTGAATGTAGTTGGCCTAGCACATGTGATCTGGGGAGGACTATTCTCTGAAAGACCTTTGCCATGTACCTCCACTGTCTGGCTTCACAAGGCCAGGCCATGAGGCTTCTTCCCTCCCTCCTTCCATGCCACCCCCTTGAGGTGATGAGATGGTTCTTGGGTGTTCCTCCAAGGTTTGAAATCACTCTATAGAGTGACATAAAGCTTTTATGTCACATGCAGTCACCCACCAATTGCCGGAAATAAACCCTCTTTATATATATGGTATCAAATTCAGTATATCCCTCTGGTACATTACTTCCAGCTCTCTAAAATGTTAGGAATCACCTTTTATTTCCTATTTCATGGACAAAGTGCTTCAAAAATACTTTGTAAAATAAATATGAGCTATACACTGAGAGTTTATAGTTCAATTTTAGGCAGTATAAACTAAGTGACAAGATATAGTCAAACATCAAGTGAAAAGAATATATTTTCTTTTCATCCCGACAGGTCTGGGGCCTAATTATAACTTGTGGTTTTAAATGTTATGGTGTTATAGTTCTATAATTGTGTTTTCAGTTGTTATTACCACCTGAGGCCCAAAAAGTTAATGAATATCCTTGACATGTGACCAAAAAAACCCAATTGGGTCAAAGTATTCATTATTAGCAACTCTACCTTTCGTTGTGAAAACTCGAGCCGAAACATTAAACCTTGCCTGAAGTCAGGGCTGGAGACTGAAGAACCAAAGAAGGTATTGACTGCTAGTCCTTGCTTTGACCACATTTCTCTCTTAATGTGGTAGAAAGCAAAGGGTCTTGTTCGTGGTATGAATGGGTCACTGAACAGGCTTGACTGGGGGCACTGGCCAAATTGTGCCTGTGCCAGTTGTGCCTTATTGCTTTATTAGGTTTCCATCAGAGTGTTTTTTTTCCGTGAGTTATTTTGTAACCATGTTCATCTTGAGCTTGCAGCTGCTACAGTTTGAAAACTAGGGTTTCTCTTAAAGTCCTTTAGAATGGGTGTCATCAGTGACAGTTACCAATATATTAAATTTGTCCTATCTTAATGTTTGCTGACCAACTTGAGTTGTTCAGGGATTTAAAAACACACGTTTAAATTTCTTGTAATTAGTGTGGAAAGACAATGTGGCATAGTGGATTACGAGTTGGTCTTGGAGTTAGGAAGACCTGTCCCTGGTACTTACTGGCTGTGTGACCCTGGGCAAGTCACCTAACCTCTAAGTGTTCCCTGGCAACCCTTTAAGTGACAGAGTGCATACTAATTGGCTTCCTAGAGTCTATGATTCATTAGGAGATTTCTACACTGGTAAAATCAGAGGCTCAATCAAAATAATTATTGGAGTACGAGAGTTGCTTTTCATTTTATAAAGGTATTTAAGTGGCCAAATAATAGCAATTTGTAAGGATGGGTGGGGGGGCATCCACAAACAACAACAACAATAACAAAACCAAACAGTTTAGTGATTCATCTAAAGCAAATTAAAAAAATAATAAAACATAGCCATACCTGAACTTGTTAAGTATATTCAGTGTCCTGTATAACACTAAATAATTGGAATGGTTGCATTCTTCACTTTTGTCCATGTGATTTGGCATCATGTTGGCATCAGACCCACCTCCAGGATGGGAATGGTATTTCTAATCCTGAAAATCATTTTGCATTTACATTACCTTCTTAAAGCTTCTATCATCCTTATCTGCATCATCAGCATGTCCTAGAAATTGTTTTGTTAATTGTTGTTACAAAAAAAAGGCAAATTACTAATACATAAATGACTAACTAGAAAAGGAAGTTTGCAAATCCAGGCACCTGGTTACTAGGAGACAGATTTCTTCCTTCTTGGATTCATCCCAGGCTCTGTGTTCAAAGCCTGCTATTTGAATGTGGCTCCAGGATTTTGAAATCCCACTCCAGGCCAGTGCACACATGCAAATGAACACTTGCTATTTTAAATGGATGAATGCAGTAGTTATGTTCAGGTGCTTTATCTTCATTTGAGGAGGTTGGAGGAGTGCCTGACCAACAAAGAAACACCACACTAGACTTCTGAATATTTACTAAATTCTGTGTTGATAGAGGAGAGCCAGCCTCAGAGTTAGGAGAACCTGGGTTAAAATTATGCATCATGAATGCAAGTTGTGTGACACTGGATAAGTCACTTAATTTCTTAGGGCCCTAAACATTTTTCTAAGACTCTAAGTTTCAGAGCAGTTGCAAATCTGCATTGATAAGAGGCAGTTGCCTAATTGGGAGTTCCCTACACTGATGAAATCATAGGTTCAAATTCTGCCTATTCTTCTTGCCCCACCT